CACGTGACCAGTCAACAGTTTCACGTGACCAGTCAACAGTTTCACGTGACCAGTCAACAGTTTTACGGTGACCAGTCAACAGTTTTACGGTAGCACACATTAGCTATAGTTCGTTTGGTGAATTGTCTGGGAAACAGTCGAAATTGATTAATATGCATTTATATAGCGAGTCAGGTAACAATCATGTCCCTCGGTAGAGGGAAGCCCAGTGGAACTGTTTGCCCTTGGCCTAGCGGCCTCCGGCAAACAGTTCCCCAGGGCTTCCCCCTACCTCGGGATGATAGTTTTGACTGTTCCCCAAATAGCCATGAAACAATTGTATATTGTAGTATATAGTATGTAGTTAATCCCAATATATTCTTACATGGAACATTTCAATGTATTAACTCCAACTTTTTTCTAGTTCATTAGGAATATCACACAACTCGCAGACATTCGTTCAATGAGATTTCCAGAAAAAAAGATTCAATAATGATTTTACTTAGATAACTCGCATGAAGAAAACAAATCTTAATGCATACACTTAAAACATTAATGACACAGTAGCTTTTTAAAAGATAAAATGTTGCTGTTTGTGTTGAATCAAGAGCGGAAAATGCAGTCAGAGTTATAATATCATCAGAAAAAATAGATATACTTTTGTTGTTTAAATCACCGACTGACGTCATTGCATCATCACAACATCACGACAATAGACAGTACAGGAAGCGAAACAGTTCAGTCTTCTCTTCACCTCCAATTCGATATAAACAACCCAACACGCAAATACTCATTTGCCGGACTAGCCTGTCGTGATTAGAGAAGACAAATAAGATCTTTTCCCTATTTATTTGCAATCGTGTTTAACGTGTTAAACGATTGACTACATTAACAAGAGGATCAAGCAATACAAGCCAAACACACTTATACACCGAGTAATATAGCATTGTCTACATACTAATACACCGGGTAATGTAGCATTATCTACATACTAATACACCGGATAATATAGCATTGTCTACATATTAATACACCGGGTAATGTAGCATTGTCTACACACTTATACACCGGGTAATGTAACATCGTCTACACACTAATACACCGGGTAATGTAGCGTTGTCTACACACTAATACACCGGGTAATGTAGCATTGTCTACACACTAATACACCGGGTAATGTAGCATTATCTACACTCTAATACACCGGATAATGTAGCATTATCTACACTCTAATACACCGGGTAATGTAGCATTGTCTACACACTTATACACCGGTTAATGTAACATCGTCTACACACTAATACACCGGTTAATGTAGCATTGTCTACACACTAATACACCGGGTAATGTAGCATTGTCTACACACTTATACACCGGAAAATGTAACATTGTCTACACACTAATACACCGGGTAATGTAGCATTGTCTACATACAAATGCACCGGGTAATATAGCATTGTATACACACTTATACACCGGGTAATGTAGCATTGTCTACACACTTATACACCGGATAATGTAGCATCGTCTACACACTTATACACCGGGTAATGTAGCATTGTCTACACACTAATACACCGGGTAATGTACCATTGTCTACATTCTAATACACCGGGTAATGTAGCATTGTCTACACACTAATACACCGGGTAATGTAACATTGTCTACATACTAATACACCGGGTAATATAGCATTGTCTACACATTTATACACCGGGTAATGTAGCATTGTCTACACACTTATACACCGGATAATGTAGCATTGTCTACACACTAATACACCGGGTAATGTACCATTGTCTACATTCTAATACACCGGGTAATGTAGCATTGTCTACACACTAATACACCGGGTAATGTAACATTGTCTACATACTAATACACCGGGTAATATAGCATTGTCTACACATTTATACACCGG